GAAACGAATAACATGATGGAATATGTAAGTTAAAGGGCTGTTTTGTGAGTTTCTCTATTAAATGATCATTTATTTTGCTTCTGATCTTATTCTTTTCATGATTATTAATCAGTAAAGGTGTCAGGAGCTTAATCGCCTGAGTGCAAGGATTTTCTACGGTTCACAGATGCATGGTTTCATGTGCAGGACTGATTTATAAAGTTATGAATGACTTGAAAACAAGGCTTCACTGTGTTCTGAAAAATAATAAATTAATTGCCAAGATAAAATAGCTTGAACGTGTGTTGATGGAGTGTGAAATTTTAGATGCTGTATAAAGAATAACCACAACTTTGGTTACGCAGCAAGTCAGATATGGCTGTTTTATATAATGCTAATCAAGTCTAAAAGTATGGAAGAAGACCTTTCAGCTAAGCTGTTGGAGCTTAAGAAACCTTTCGCCTTTATAGATATTAACTGTCCCATATCTCAACTGTCTTGAAAGTATCTTTATCTTTAATAGGATTACTAAAATATTTTTAAAATCAGTCTTATAAGTAAGCTACAAAAGACACTTCGGTTTGGTTTTTATTCCCTAAAAAGTTCTCAAGTTATAGAAATATATACGCTGAAAAGTTGCATGCCTTCTACAGTCAGTCAGTATGGGATTTCAGTTTGCTCACCTAGCTGTTTTCTTGCTCTTTTATTTGTTTTCTGTTTTATTACTGTTTTCAAAAGCTTTTGAGTGCAGTCAAGGGCGAATGAGTGTGGTGAGATGAGTCTGTTAAATTGATTAAATCATTGAAATATATAGGATTTCCTTAATAGGAGAAGCGAGTGGGCCAGGAAGGGGTTAACTATTGAAAATAAAGACTAACCTGGGAGAAATACTTAGGGTAGCACTTCTTAAATATGCATGGCCTTTTGTTATGTGATATTTTGTCTATTCTTTGAAACAATAAAGCCATCATAGACAGCATATAAAATAGTGTTTAAATAATTAGAAATTATCTTAAAATCATCTTTTCACTGCTAGCATTCCCCTTTCTTCCATTTTCACACTAAATCCTATTTCTAGCCTGAAACATAAAAGATTTTTAATGTCTCTTTTCACAGAATAGCTCTATTCACTAAACTGAATAAGTAGATTTTTGTATCATTATCTATTATATAAAACATGTTAATTTATGATGAGATGCATGATATTTCACTGTAAAAAGAAAATTTCAGTAAGCTGTTTTGAGCTGACCTATATGACGATGTCCTGCTTTTTCATCACTGAATGCTTCTGTTTTTCTACAGAAGTAGTTAGCATTGTCACCTCAAATCCTTTACAGACTAAACTGAAACTAAGCAAAAGAGGCTACAGGTTTTTTTTATTAATTTTGGAAGGTGGCTTATTAGAGTTTAAACAAATGTTCACCTTTTATTAGGTGAACTTGTATGAAATTATAGTCACTTTTTATATAGTGGACATTCTGTTAACTAAAGATTTTAAATCAATTGGTCTACTTACAGGAGTAAAGTTAAGCTTGTGCATAAGTGTTTGCAGGCTCAAGATCTAAGAGTGAGAGATATTTTTAAAAGCTTCTAACAAGTTAGCTGTAGAAATATTTAATATCGTTATTTTAATCCAACATTGATTTTCCACAGAACTTGTGTTCTATTCTTTCATCTGTAACTAGTTGAGATGCTGGTCGTATTAAAGCTGTTTTGAATTTTCCATTTATAAGTTAACTTTAAAAAGAATTGAGGGGAAAAAATTAAGCTAAGACTTTAACAAATAAATGCCAAAAGTGAGGCTCCTATATCCATATTTAGGTATCTAAATAGGGCTTGTCTACAAGAAGGTTTTATCTGTTGGTCTTGATGCTAGAGAGTGTACAAGTTGTTTCACTCCACCAGTATAAAAAATGACTTGCACCGCTTCAGCTTATTCTAGTTTGAAACATGGCCTGAATTTCAAAAGCGCTCAGCACTCCTCAGCCCAATTGAGGGCAGTGGTGCTCAGCATTTTTGAAAATCAAACTATTTACTTAGGTGCCTACATTTATATTTAGAAGCCTAACTTTAAGGTTTTGAAAATCTTGGCCTCAGTGATCAAATCCGTGGATTAAACATCCCCTCCCTCTCCCCCCACACACACATACACGCCTTTTTATAAAAGACAGATGAGGCATTTATCCTTTAAACAGCCAGCTAGTTTTCTCCTATACACCCAAATGTACCTACTGAGTGTCAACTTTTTGTCTGTTTCAGGTAATAGGCTTTTTATATGATAGGTTTTTGATGATGAAACATTGTATTAGTTCAGAAACGTTTAGGAATGCAATTTTAATTGATTAGAAGAAAGGCTATCTCCTTTTACCAGTGTGCTTTGAATTGCACAGTTAGAAACCAATAAAATTCAATTACATTCCTTTGTTGAACAGAGTAGAGTGTTAGGAGTCCCAATCTTACTGATGTGTCAGTAATTTTATGGACAATTTTATGGAGGAGGAAAGTTTTGAAAGGGTAGTTTTTCTTAAGATGCCCTTCAACACACACTAAGGGATAGATTATATTCAGATATGTTATATTGATGGCCTCCTATAGCAAAATGACTCACACATTAGAATCTAGGTCTGAATATTCATGTTGAAACATAAGTCAAGTTTCTTTTTACCTACCTGAGAATTTGTTTGATATGGAGATGGCCTTGAAATATGTAAGACAGAAGATTAGTGGAATAGTAATTAGTACTTTTTATGGAAAATCATTGAAACTATAAACATTTTTTTTTAATTTTCAAAACTGATCTGAACTGAGAACAACTGTTGATAGTTTGGTTATAAAGTTATTCTTACATGTAGTTATCTTCTCTTTTTAACATTCATGACTTTACATTTTGTTAGAAAAAAATTGAGCCAGTTAGCTGAGTTTGTCAATGAATAATTAGCTGGTGGCTTATTTTAACATGACCTGTGAGCCATACGTTTCTCTATCCCATCTGATACTCTGGCTGTTAAGGTTTACTGCCCTTAGATAGGCACATGATGTGTATGTCATTTCCTAGTGGTCCCTTACCTAAAAATGGTAGCATGGCCCTTGATTGTTCATTCCTTCCTCTCTCCCCACATTTTTAGATAATTGTAAACAAATTTTGTGAGTGGTTGCTGTGATGAATTTCAGTTAATGGATAAGACTGATGCCAAGTTTCATTAAATTTGTTTTTCTTTTTATACAGGTCATTCTGATAGAATTTTTACCAAAGACACCGATTTTTCGACCAGATTAGCATTTGCTTTATTTATAGAGACTTATCCAAGTATGTTGTCTTTCCAATGGTGCCTTGCTTGGTGCTCTCCTGGTGGTGATATAGCATTGGTTCTACAAATTATTGTGGTGTTTTTTGTTCTTTTTGTTTTTTAATAACAGCATGTTCTAAGTGCATTTTGTCAAAATTTGCAAAAGTCATTTCATGCAAATGTTAAGTACTACTTAAGTTATTACTTGTACTTATTATGTTTGTTAATGTATCTTGATTTTCAGAGAGTCTTTTATATGTGTGTGTGTATATATACATAACATAAATATACAGCTGAAAATAGCCTACAAGCGAGCAGACTTTTTTTAACCCATAATACGCATAATGAATTGACTGTAAATTGTGGAAGTTCTTTTAATCTTTAACCTGTATACCTAAGTAACTTCTATGACCCTCTCCAGATTTTGCCTGTGACATTCTAGTTGTATATTTTTATTTTCCCTTTTTTTGCGGTGGGTGGGGGAACGAAGGTAATATCAGCCAGCCACCTCTACTGGGATAATAAGCTATGCTTGTTTGAAACTGTCCATTTTGGAACCCAAATGTCAATGCACCATTAGAAGTCTCTGTGCTCTTTTGTGAAGAAATCTATCAGCTGGTTCTGAAGAAATTGTACCTTAAAGGTTAATAAACCAGAATTCAAAGTATTTTACTTAGACTAGAAAAATAATGGAAAGGTTTGCATGCATCTAATAATTACTAGAGCTCAGGATCACAAAAATACATTAGTATTGGAACTTATAATGTATATATCTTAATTCAGGTTAATGCCATGTAACAGCTTTACTCTTTACTTCTTATTGTTTACCAGATCTTGTACACAAGGGTGCAAAAATATTTGTTTCAGTAAATTTATTGTCCCAAGAAAATATTTTTCGGATTTTTTAGGGTTTTTTTAAAATGCATTTATAACCTCACACAGGCAGTTGTTTGAGAGAAATCTTGAAAAATACAGTTCCAGACACAAATGCAGACGGATGCCATGTATCACAAAATTAGTCAAAGCAGGGTACACTGGACAATAGTGAGAACTTAAGAAATGTATTGGATAAATATTTATTGCACCCTGATTTCTTCCCATTTAGGTTTACAAGGTTTATTTTCTGCACAAATACGATTTAAAAAAAAAACTGGATATGTGATGTATGCTTGGGTCAGGCCAGTTCTATTTCATTCTGTTACTTATCTCAGTTGGTTGTACATATCTTCATATATGTTTGTTTTTAATAGCTACTCAGAAATCTTATTTTTTAGTTTGTTCTTTGTATGTCTGGAATTACCATACATGAACATTAATGTATGCTAAGAAACTGTTCCTCATACATCTGTGGTAGCAAGCAATAATGTGAATTACTATGACAAACAAATATACTCTGCATAATATTCGTATGAATGAAAAGTTGATATCACTACATGAATACCTTTCTCTTTTTACTCTTTTAAATACAAGTTTCATTTCTCATTAATATATACAAGTACCTGGATGTTATGAACTATTTTTGTATACGTCTTCAAAATAGTTATTCTCTATAAATCTTCACTAGCGAATGTCGTATTCATTGTTTGATATTGGGAGCTGTCTAGAAAGGTCAAGGGTTTTCTCTGAATTATCTTAATCTGTGTTCTCTATATATGCCCCAGAATAGAGATCTTCCATTACTCAGCTTTTATCTATTGAAGAAAGGAGCTCTTGTGTTTTTTGTGTAAGCTGCAGGTATGCTTTACTGTTATCAAAGTTCTCAATGGACTGTATAAAATAGCTCTTTCATAGACGTATTGTTGAGTATCTGTTATCCCTTTCAGTTCTCCATTGGTATTTCATTAATGAAGAAGTGGCTGAGTGGCTGAAAGATTTTCACTTGAGGTATATCTCTTGTAAAGTTTATATGTGGTACTACCCTGTGTTAACACAAGAGCCATGACTGCTCAAGGTGTCAAATTTGTATTAACCAAATGGATGTCTGTCTAATTTTATCAGACTTTGCAGCTTGATCCTTGATATGAAGGACAAGTCAAAATATATGAAATGCTCTAAGAAGCAGTTCTCATCACACTCAATGTCTCTGACTTGGGTTGGCCTCCAGAGAGACTCAGGAGTTTGGGATCATTGAGGCAGTTATGGCTGACCAAGATTTTTAAATCTTCGTGGTTTCTCCTGTCAAAGTAGACCATTCATCCAGTAGTAGTTATAAAACTTCTTTACACAAAACCCTTAACCCCTGAAAAAAAATAATAGAAATTGGAGATGGTAAAGACCTTAAAAAGTCATCAATTTAATCTCCGTAGCGGCCAGTAGGGATTTTTTTTAACATAATTTCTAGTGTTTTGTCCAACCTGCAGTAGGTTTACGTGTCTCTAGCAATAATTTCATTTCCTATGAGTCCAACTACCAAAGTTAAACAATTTATAGTTTGGGCAGGCCACAAGACAATGGTAAGGAGAAAAGGGAATCAAAATGCTACTTTCTTTTGCAGGACTCATGATTTTTGAATACTTGAGGTTGGTAATCCTGCAGATTGCTGATCCAGAAAGCTTAATACTGAACAATTTAAAGAGATACATATATGGGACATGTACCTCTTAAGTCTGATAACCTGTGCCTGCAGGAAAAAACAGTGATGGGAAGGACTTTAGCAAAATAAATAAATAAATATTAGTGGCTCTAGTCTACACTTCAAAGCACTACATTTTTGTAGATAAGGGCTTTCTCCCTTATCTGAGGTCAAAATTTTGAATGTGAAGGATACTTAAAATAAAGCAAGGATGCATCCTAGTCTCAAAAGATGTCTTGGATTTATTGTAGCAGCCCAGTAGTATGGGTAGTGGCTTTCAGCTGGCTGGCTTTGGATCCATGGCTAAAATCAAGTTCTTGCTTAGATAATTTGCTATTGAAAGGACAGTGTTTCAGAAGAGAAATCTGTATTCATCATCATTACTAATTTGCTCCAGTTTCTGTGATTCTTTCCCCAAAAGCATCCTTCCCATCCTGTTAAGTGTACACTATATAATGATTTTGTTGGCCACACTTAGATGAAAATATAATTCCTGAGGCATTAATAGGAAAGATAACAGAGTTAATAGGCTGAATAGGCCTGTCTCCATGAAGGCTTATTTTACAAATTGCTTCCCAGAAGGTTACTTGGACTTTAGTATGCATGACTATTTAAAATATAATCAGCCTGTGACCAAGGCAGCCCACTTCACTGTGTGGTGTGAGGATGTTAAACACAATGAGCATTTTAGATCACTAGATAAGGATAGATGAATTCCCTTGCTGTAAATGCAGAACCTGAATGTTTCCAAGGAAGACTAGTTCTACATTGAAATGCTTTCCATATGCTTCCCTTTTCTATGACAGTTATGTGTGCAAACTGGGTGAGCCAGGATTTTCTGGTATTGATAAATGCAAATGTTCTTTTTGCTGGGAGACTTAATCAGTGGATGCCAGTGGAAGAAAGTGCAGTGGAAGCAAATGCTCTTGCTACTGTGTGATGTGACTCATGTATCATATCCTTAGTTAATGCAGTGCTCTAGTTTGCCGCCAGATTAATATATTCAGCTTTGTTAGTAACAGCGTGTCTAACTTTGGACTTTGTTATTGTCCACTGATATAGCATAATTCTTTGCCCCTGGAATCTCCTGGAAAAATGAGTCAGTGTGATTTGCTATGTTTTGAGACTGGTTGTTAAAAAAAGAATCCTCTGAGTTCTGTGTATTAAATTTAATTTTGTCAGTGTATATCCCCACCACATCACAGCTGGATGAAATGGATTTTTTGTAACCTAGATTGTTTTGTTTAATTGGAAGACACTCTTTTAAAAGTTCATCCAGGCTTATTTCTTTTGATATTGCTTCATTAAAATCAGCTTGTCTTGGAGAAAATGAAGTTACACTCTCCCATTTACCCTCAGGAGTCAAGCATTTGTGAAAGTTACAATGAGGCAATGGTGCAATCAAGGTAATTGTAATAAATTTTAGTTAGGAAGGCAAGGTGCAAAAGGCTGAACATAGAGCTTGGTAACAGAACTCTGAGTGTACTTCAAAATGGGTTTCTTTCTGTATCAAATGGTATTGAAGGATGAAGGTTATGTCAAGGCTAATTGAATCCCTTTCCTGAGCTTTTGTAGACAGTGTTCTAATTCCCACTACATTTTGGGTCTCCAGCAAGTGCCTCATTAACCTTTTTGGCTGTGCCCTAATTGATAGAGATTTCTCCAGCTATGCTACTTATGAGAAACACTTCCACCTTAAGGATAAAGCATCTTCTACCTTTCTGTTAACTGGGTAACTTTAGTTTAAAACTTAAGATATCTTGCTCAAAAAGGAATCATGGATAAAAGTGAGGCAGCCTTAATTACACACCAATCTTTTCCAAAGCTAGAGCCTGTAATGCATGGTTAATTGTTTTCAAAGAAAAATCTTAACTTGTGCATACAGCTTCTGTCATGTGACAACATATATAAAACCCAAGAGTTAGGATCCAGTGAGGATAGCTTAAATTCAGGTAAAATAAGTAGATTTTGTAGCTGGTTGTCTTTATTGAAAAGGAACTGTTAAATGTTCACCTTTAAGAGGCAGATATTACATTTTTAATGGTCCCTGCAGTTTATTTTTCTCTCTGTAATAAATATTGAAAATTACTTTGCCTTGAATGTCAAAAACTAGGATTCGTCATTGTAATCTAAAAATTTTGTTTCAATCATTTTTATTTTGTAAAAATGGGGTGGTTGATCTATTTTATAGACCATGCTTTAGCAGCCTTTTATAAATCAAAATATGGTGGTGCAGTGTAATCCTAAAATACTTTAAGGTGGGTCTGCGTATGGAGGAACTTTCTTAACAAGCTTTAAAAGTTAGTTTATGATCTCTTATGTTACGGTTGCAACACACTGTCTAATCCATCAGAATATGCTTTGTATATATTTTTAAATAGAAGGTTTTTTTCAGAGAGTAAATTGTTTCAAGGAAATTCGAGTAGTTGAGTAGTTCAGCATTAAAATGTGTAACTTATTCGGTTTCCTTAAAAGACCTAAATTTTGCAGTGAAAATGCTGACCTAGGTTCAACTAAAATAAAGACAATTTACTGTAGATTGTATGGGCTAAATTAATCCCTCTGTAACTCAGCTGATTAAGTAAAGTTCCAGAGAGTTACCTTTGGCTGTATATGGTTAGTAAAATCCTGTGAAACACATTATAAATCAGTAATCCTAAAAATGACATAAGAGATCTGTCAAACTGGCCAACTAAACAAACTTGTTAAAGTAACCACACTGCATCAGTCTATGTTAAAAAAAAAATGGGGGGGGGGGCAATAAATGTACTTTACATTAAGATTTAGTAGCAGTATCCCAAATACTTAAATTCAAAAGTAATCATGTCACTTAAGGATATCCTGGTTATAAACAGTCGAGAATATTAGAAGGATTGGATTGCTGTGACTTGACTATATTAGCATTACTCTTCAGATATTTTAAATCCAGGGTGAGTGACTGAAAGCTTAAAGGCCAGTACTATGTTAATGGTGAGGGGAGGGAAAGGACATGAGTGAGGAGAGGATAGTTTTACAACTGCACAATTGTAATTATGCATATTTAACAGTATTTAACCACGTCTGCTACTATTACTGAAGTTAATCTCTTGTTGAATTTTACAACTTTGATGCATTAAATAACCTTCTGTTAGTTTTTTCTGGCCTGACCCAGGATTGGAATGGATTCAAATACAAAACCTTTTTAAAGCAGTTAAGTTGTAGGTATTACAAACTAATAAAATAATTGTGACGCTATCTAATCAGGCTTATTTTCTTTTATAAAATATGTGAAAGCTGTTTTATGGCATAATAGCTTATTTTAAGTCTTGAGAGACAAGGTGAGCGAGGTAAGAGCTTTTATTGGACCAACTTCTGACAGTGAAAGACAAGCTTTCCTTCTTACACAGAGCTCCTCTTCAGGTCTGTTTTAAATCAGTTAATACTTTTAAATCTGATTTAGAGAGAATGAAAAATCAATTTTGAGTGATTTACTGTTCATAAACTCTCTAGAACTGCAGTATTCAAACTGGATAGACTTGCTTACACTGAATTTTTCAAACTAGCTTTTATTTAACTCTATGGTTGAAGTTCTTAAGTATTTCATACCAGAGTGCTACTAGTATTACTTGGTATATATATTACCATTATGGTGGAGTAAATAACACCATAGTTAAGGCTGTGTTTCAACTTTGTTTTATATATTACTTACACAGTTAATATATAATTTCCATCCAATTGACAAAGTCACCAGCTTATTCCCATAAGAATCATTATTGTTTCATTACTTCATATTAGGCAAATCTCCCAGACTGTCTTACAAAACCTAGTAATGTTCCTTAAACCGAACCTTAATAAGCAATATTAACTCTACTTCTATCCAGTGCTTTGAGGAGAGCATTGAATTTAATCAGCCAACTTATTTCTTTATGAAACATTTTACCCTCTTCGGTTACTCTGCTTAGGAAATCCCTAACAGCCTCTTTTTAGATATATTTAAAAAAACGCCCTGGAACTATTCTGAAGCATGCAGGGTGTTGTAATTTCAGCTTGCAAAGCGGTATGATACAATGTTGCTGAGCAGAAAAGCGCACGATAGATTTAATGTAGCCAATTGTGTACTTTTGAAAAAAAGAGTAACTGTTCAGTGTGAGTTAATTTTGGATTTTTTCAGCATCTCTCTTTTAGGCTTTGTGCTGCATTCTTCTAGACAAATGCGTATTCCATGTGGGCCACTGTTCTGCTAAATGCTCTCAGTTCTCCCTTTGCAATCAAGATTATGTTGCTAAGGAGATTTTGCTTTTATTGGTGCCATTGATTTGTGTTAATACGTTTTGAATACCTCTCGGTATTCTTCCGTAGACAAGGCCAAAAGAAAAACTTCCCCGAGTTTCCCGATTTACATTACAAATGGAGCGGTGGTGTAATGAAGCCGATATAAAGTGGGCAGTTGAAAGGGAACTAAAGAAGGGCACTCAAGTGAGAAATGAAGAAATGTGCCGAGTGCAGTCTGCGGGCCGCCTTCGGCCCAGCTGCAGGAACTGGCTCAGGCCAGAGGCAGAGGGAGAAGAGCGAGCGCCTCCCTCCGCAAAGACCACCCACTCGCTGCTCTCCGGGGATTACCTCACTGCGCACAAAGCGCTGCTCTGCCGGCCGGCCGGGGCAGGCTGGCTCTAGGGCTGTGCCACCGCTCAGCGCTGGAGCTTCCCTTAGGGGTCCCACAGCCAGGCCGCTCTGCTCCCCCGGCGCTTCCCGGGCTTTTCCTGGAAACACCCTTCGCGCTGCCTTCGGGCATTTGTCTTGGCGTGTGACCTCCCCATCGGACCCCTCCGTGCTAAGGGCTGCGGGGACCTTCTGGAGCCCAGCGAACTGCCCCCCTCATGCTGCTAGGCAGCGTCAATTCGCTCTCGGGTGGGGGCCAAAGGATTGGCTGTGGCCGTATGATCACTGTTGTGAATACCAGGGCAGGAGGCAAGCGGGGAGAGCGGTCACCGCTGTGTGCCGATGCTTTCCTTTAGAAAACGGATTCGTGTCCGATCCCCCTGGCCAGCCAGACCCCGCTGTCCTGGGCTTAAACAGTGAGCTGACTCAATAGAGCAAAGTAACCAAAGAGACCCAGTCTTACCGGGGTGTCGTGTTTGGCGGTCTGGCTAGGGCTCACACTGCAGCAGCCGTGCTACAGAGTAGCTCCAGTGTGAAATAGCTACTCTGACTCCTGCAAAATCAGGAGCTGAGGAAGGGCCCCACCGGTTCCCATTCCTCCCAAGAGGAGGTTTGTCAGAGGCTTGAGCAATTTGAAGGCAAGTGCTCATCTGCACATGACAAACGGGGGATCTTTAACGTTTGCACCAAACCATCAAAACCCCAGGAGAGTCGGTTTTGGAAAAGAAACGGTGGTCGCAACTCGTTCCTTTTCGAGCAGGATCAGTGCACGGTGTAGGGGATTGCTGCAAAGGTAGGACCTGGTCAGATCAGGGACAGAGGGGTTCTCCCCCCCCCCCTTCAGCTTTATCGTTATTTTTAAAAGAGCTGCTGGGCGAAGCGGGAGTTGGTGGCGCTTAGGTTGGTTGGGGCGGTGGCGCTGCCAGGCAGCACTGCTAAAGGCGGACCAGGCACGTGTGAAAACTAACACACAGTAAACACTGCATTGGTGGATAAGCACTAGAGATTTGTCGTCAGGATCTAAGCCGTCAGCTCCGTTTCTAACCCGATGCAACCAGAGGACTGAAAATAGATGTTTAGTAAAGTCTCCAGGCATTTGCGCTCACTTCCTTCCTTTTCCCTCGTCACATCAACTTGTTTGTTTTTCTCCTTCCTATATGTGCACAGCTGAGGAGCGATGTGACCCTTAAAAAATATTTGACCATCATATACACAGTTGGCGTGCTCGTCTTTTGGGGACTATGGGCTATCAGCAGTGAGTAGCTCACTGCCCTTGCTCCTGCCAAGAAATTCGTACAAAAATGCAATTTATTAGCCAATTCCGTTTGTAAACATTCACCAGGCGAACTGTTCGTTCTGCTACGGAAACCGCAGGGCTCAAGCGCCGAGTTAGGTTTTGGTTTATTTTATTGTTTTTGTTTTTCGGGGGGGGGGGGGTTCAAATGAAGGACACAAAATGTAACCCCGCTTTCCGAGAAAAGGAGCCGTGCTTGCTTCTGTGCTAACCCTCCTGACCAAAGGTGTTTGATACAGTCAGATCAGAGAACCAGAGTCAATATCCTGTGAGCAGCTACAGCCCAACAGCTCATGCTAGGCTAGAAAAAATGTCCTCGTTTTTTCAGATGTACAATTGTTTACATTGTGTTAGATGTCTTACAAGCTGAAAAAATGAGCATTTTCACCGGGAATATCAATCTGTCTCGTTATCGATATAATAAGTGCAATAAAGCAGTAAATAATGTGCTGGCTGAGTGACTTCATTACCTTTCACTTCCTTATGAAGGAGATGATAGCCATGACACTGATGGTGTCTAAGTGTCTATAGTTAAAGAGAGGGTAATTTAGCTCTAGTCAATACCATTTCCATGCATTCTACCTTTCCAGAAGGCCATAGAAAAGATTAAAAATAAAACTTCCCCTCCTTTTGAAGATTGGGTACTAGTGCATCAGATCTTCAACTACTGACGTGAAAACATTTTTGGAACAAGCACATTTCATTCCTGAATTAATAGGAGCAGGCAAGAAATTCAGTAGCCAAGCTTAGTAGTAGATGTTACAGCATTCTGTATGTAGATGTTACAGCATTTTTCTTCTTCCCTACCTCTTATAGCACAGGAAGCTTTTAAAATTATTTATGTCTTTCTGCACAATTCAAAGAAAAAATCCCAGTTTCAAAAACGGAAATTGCAGTGGCTGTATAGCGGTAGCACTGTGATAATTCCTTTACAGATCCCCCCCTCCCCCCAATTAGTAATAATTGAACAATATTTTGCAATTTCATTTAAGAAAGTCAAAACACTTAATAACATAAGAACAGCCATAGTAGGTTAGACCAAAGGTCCATCTAGCCCAGTATCCAGACTTCTGACAGTGGCTCATGCCAAGTGCTTCAGAGGGAATGAACAGAAGAGGTAATCATCAAGTGATCCATTCCTAGTTTCTGGCAAACAGAGGCTAGGGACACCATCCCTGCCCATCCTGGCTAATAGCCATGAATTTATCTAGTTCTTTTTTGAACCCTGTTATAGTCCTGGCCTTCACAACATCAACAAATGTGAATGAAGCCTTACTTCAACTCCATTATGCCCAATATACTGTTGGGTTAGCTGAAGCCAAGTGATGTTAAGTGAGTTGTGGGCACACAGGACATCAGTAGCAGAGCCAGGAAGGAGACCCCAGCTCTCCTGAATCTTAGTCCACATTCTAGTCACTAGATCAATTCCTTCCCAAAATAATTTAGACGAGCTATTTTGCTGTTTTTAAGCTTACTAATTATTTTATAATAAGTCCAATAATTGTTGCTTAATTTGAACTAAACCCAGCTAAGAGGCTTAAAAACAGTGTAGTCTTAACAAATATGAATTTTTCCAATATAAGTTGTGTGCATTTCATATACAGTTTTACAGATCACAGGTGCCTCACTTGTCGGTATGTTGCACCAAAAAGGAAATAAAGAGAACAATTGGATTCTCTTTCTTTTAAAGCTTGCACTTATAGTGCACCAGAGTGCTTATGTAGCTTATTCCATGTACATAGTTTATTTTGGGATTGCCAAAGGGCTCATGGATTTTTGAGATCTGTCAAAGAGCAGTGAATAAAACTTTTTGTTTTCTTTTAAAAAAAGGGAACACAGGGAACTTCCTTTTTAAATTCCAGAAGGCAGTTAAA